TGTTGTTGTTTTAAAACTGCCTTTGTTTGTAGAGCACAGAACATCTCAGGGGATTTAGGTAACTGAATATTGTTAATGAGTTTGTAGTCCTGAAGGAAGATTCTTGGCTGCTATGAGAGTGGGACTTTGTTTCATTGCAGGCTTTGTATGTAACCATCCACCAATTATTTCATGCTCCGTAATTATTTATGTGTTAAAATGTGAGGCAATATTTCTCTTCCTCATCAGGAGCATGAATTCAAAGTGCTGGCAAAATTCTACCCATGATCAATGGAGATCAGATTATCTTAGTGCAACTGATTTCTGAAAGAGATATTTTAAAGTGTTTCTGATTATTTCCATATTCAAGCTCAACCCATTATTTTAACTCATTAGAAAGTAATGTACTTATGAATAAAGTTATGTGTTTAGAATTTTAGTTCACAGATACTGTTAAATGGAACGGGCATCTTGTGGCTGCTTGAGCCCTCAGTGTAATTTTAGAAACCCTTTGTAAATGATTAAGTCTTCTTCAGGAAATAGTAGTGGCTGAAGCCCTGCTCCTTAGCATAATTTTTTATTTATTTTATTTTATTTTACAGTATTTTATTTTATTTATTAGAATAGCTGGTCAATTACGACCACTCATACTAGAGTAGGCCCACTGCATCAGTGGGGTTTTGGTGAATCATCTCCTCCATAAATTCCATTGATTCAAATGGGCTTACTCCAGTTACATCTTACTACACTAAAGGAAGTCACAATTAGAATATGCTCATTTGAATCAATGGGACTTACAGAAGAGTTGACTCACCAGATCACTTCAGATTCAGTGGGCCTACTCCAGTGCAACCCACTGTGCTAAGCAATAGGATTTCAGCCGATATGTCCTTCTTCCAAGTGCCTTCACCATGGGAAGTGGGCAGAGAGAGAGAGAAAGAGAGAGCACAAGGTGTAACGGAAAGAGAGGAAAAGGGTGGTACACTCTGCTTTCAGCTCTGGGCTCACCCACACCTGTATGAAGCCTTCAGTGGGAAAAGAGTTCCTCACTCCTGCCCTTGGGACAGCTTTAGTACAGGTGCCTCTTGGGGTTTAAGGCTGGCATAGCCCTTGGGGGGAGTCCAGGTAGGAGCTTCATTTTCAGGACAGTGTTTTTAACTCAGAATGATCATCTTCTTCATTCTCTCTTAGGTGTTGTCTTTATAACAACCACCAGGCTAAGGATTACATTGACTCCTTTGTCACACACTGTGTCCGAGTGAGTATTGATGGTGTTGAAAAAGCTTTGTTAAAATAGCTAGGTATATTAGGTATGAATAATATCTTCCAGAATTCAAAATCTTTCTGTCTGTTTAATCAAATTATCATCTTCCTTTTTCAAGTTGACAGGTGTTTTATTATTTGAGACACATGCTCATTGGTGTGAGAGGAGCATAATTTGGAATATAACATCATGCCAGAGTTTACTTTTTTTGGAATGTAGCTCCCTAAATCTGCCAACCAACATGGCCACTGATGGCCAGAAATAACTTTTCTAAGCTCCTTATGTTCGTAAAAGGAGAGGCAGTACAAAGGCCCCAGTAACCCCTTCCTTCTGGGCCATTTCCCAAGAAGACTTGTCCTTGTCTCAAGTGAGTAGGAATTATACCATTTTTTAAAGGGTTGGTGATTCCATCTAGGAACCTTCCCTTCCACCCCTCAATATTCTGCCTCAACAGAGGGTGGCAGATTGTTGCATCTACAGAGAGAGAAGAGCAGAGTGATGCACTGCCTGAATATTTGGATTTTTTTGAGGTAGTACCATCTGCATGAATTAATAAAGACATCTTAAATTTTGCATTTGATGAGTTGGGAACGCAAGTCCCTAAGCATGAAAAGACAAAAAGAGCAAAGATAACTTTTCCTTTTCTTTGTACTTCATTATAATTCATTTAAAAATGAAAGTTTCAGTTAAATGTTGGAATCAACATATAGGTGAATACAGGGAGAACAATTTTAAGTGAATTGACCTTTTCTGTAACCCAGAGATGTTTTGTATGAGAATTCTTTGGTTGTGGTTGTGTGTTTTCCGGGCTCTTTGGCCGTGCATGAGAAATCTTTGGTTGCCAATCTAAACCAGGTTTAACCCCATTTTTTATAATGCTGGATTAACAGTGGGCTAGGCCAGAAGATTCTTCCAAACAGGCATCTTCAGAGGTTCTTTGGTTGCCAATCTAAGCCAGGTTTAACCCCATTTTTATAATGCTGGATTAAGAGTGGGCTAGGCCAGAAGATTCTTCCAAACCGTTCTATCTCATCCACATACTCCCTGTTGAGAAAATGGGGACTGTATTTGCATGTGGATTTGAATGAAGATAAATGAATATTAAGAATTGATTTAGTGAGAATCGCTTTATTGCTGCTTTTTGCATGGGCATACTTGATGTGGGATATTGGATGTTGTAGTTCAAAAATGTAACATTTTAAGCTCTGCTTTTTGGTTAATTTCTCAAAAGTTTATGATAGACTAGAGAAATATATCGGTCTGTGATTTGTCCTTGAACCTTTATTAGCTGCTGTTCCCTTTGAATGCCAGATGCCTGCAAAGGTTGTAGTGCATGTGTCCAGTTCATTAGGCCATTAACACTCAACATACCACCTGTGAAATTAATAGCATGGTATAACTCAGCAATTTAGGTATCATCTGGCTGTGGACCTAGAGGTTGGGAGTTTGATTTCCCACTGTGCCTCCCTGGACTCAATAATCCATGGAGTCCCTTCCAGATCTGCAGTTCTAAGATGATGAAGAGGATATATATCAGATATGCTCTTCCACATGCTTGTTTCAATACCATCCTCAATATGTCTGCATGTATGATTTACAGTCAGTAGGCTTAGTTCAGCAGCATCCTGTCTTGTCAAAAAAAGGGTTGGATGTGAGCTAAGCACATAATCAGATTTCCTGTGGAGGTATATAAAATGTCCCACAGTTAGTGTTGATAAAAAAGATCACAGTTATCCTGTCTCTAGTTTCTTAAAATAGTAGTCTAAAGATCTGTGATGTAGATGGAGAATGATGTAGAAGTCTAAAACTAATCACTTTCCTTTCCCCCCTCCCACTCCAGCCATTTTGCAGTTTGATTCAAATTCATGGGCATAACAGGGCTCGTCAAAGAGATAAACTTGGTCATATTCTTGAGGAATTTGCTACTTTGCAAGATGAGGTAATTAACAGACACGACACAGAACATTGTACGAAGTGTGACACTTTGAAAACTGTTTTGTGTTTTATACACTTTCCCTTTTTCATGGCTGATATGTTTCTAGACAAATGTTTAAAATTGCACAGTCACAACTGTTGGAGATCTGGACATCTTGGACAGGGTTTAAAGCTGTGCTCTTGGATTGTTCCTGCCCCATGTCTCCTCGCATCTACCTGCTGACCTTGCTTATTCTGCCTTTCTATATTTGACAAAATGCATTTCTATTCATCTACATTTTCAGTATTTGGGATTCTCTGCAATATTTGGGATTGTATTCACTTTTGTCTCTGCTATATGTATTGACAATATAATGCTGTGGATAGCAAAGCACAAAGGTGTGTTAATTGTGCAGTAATATTGGCAACTGATGGAGTTTGCAACACATAATTGTCATAAAATCTTGCTCTTAGCAGGCTTTAGCTGACCAAGAATATATTAGTTCACGAAACAAAATTCTAGTATTTGGTTATGTTTGGAAAACAGTGTGCTCAGTTTAATAACCACATGATTTTAGGGTAAATCACAATAGAATCATAACATGTTTTCTCAAATGCTTGCGTTCATCTTGTTTTTATTAAAAAATGACTCTATTTTCATAGAACTACCAGTTTGAATCTAAAATTGAATTAATTTGAAGCAACAATAACATTGAATTTTTGTTATTTAATTTGGCCTCATTTTCCACTGGCAGAGAGTTCCAGAGACTGAGGGCAGAAACCCTGTTTTATTTTCCTGCTAAATGTGCCTCTTGCAATGGTAGGATAGAGAGAAGCCACACCTGAAATTCTTTAAAACTGTGTTGGCTCATAAGAGAGCACATGGTTGTTTAAATAGCCTGATCCTTTAAATGTTATAACCACTACTCTGAATTGTGCCCTATAAGTAGTCTAGTGATAGCATGCAGGGTTTTTCTTATCAATAGAATTTGTAGATGCAAAATGTACGCTAAGTGTACTCTTTTTTTTAAACTTTTAAGGCAGAGAAAGTAGATGCAGCACTTCACAGTATGCTACTGAAACAAGAACCCCAAAGACAGCATTTGGCATGCTTGGGCACTTGGGTCCTTTACCATAACCTTCGCATTATGATTCAGTACCTTCTTAGCGGCTTTGAGCTGGAGCTGTACAGCATGCATGAATATTACTACATATATTGGTAAGTGTGTGAATTTATTTGAAACCTGAAAAGAAGCACTTTGCAAACCACTAGAAACATAATAATGTGCATTGTGCAGCAGAAGGGACAATAATGTACCATGCATTCAGAATGTGGACTCTATACATATGGTTGTATGTGACTTACTCATACTGTAGATAGAATTGCGCTTAAAATAGCCTTGGAGACTTCATAGAATAAAAGCTTCCCTCCACATTCAGCTCCAAGTCCCACCCCATATAGCACATTGGGTCCCCAATCCTGCAGAGACTTTTTGAAAGGGGTGCAAAGAGGGGAAAGGTGGGAAATGTCCCTTCAGCTTAATTCCTTGAATTAAGTTATCTTGTAATTCAAGCCATTGTTTTTAGCTGATCAATGTCTTTTCTTCATTTCAATATTTTAAAGAAGATTTTGAAAGGGTGATCTTGGTGAACACAAATGGTTTTTATTGACAACTTTGATTTATAATCCTGCAAGGACATGTTTCACTGAAGACCCAGTATGGTTAAATCCTGGAGTTTTCTTCAAATATATGTGTTTGAAATTTTTAAAATGTTGATGTAAAAACAATCCTTTGGCACCATTAACTTTGTTCTTCTCTACTCGAAATGTGTTTGAAAGAAAAGCTTGCCACTCAAAAGTGAGGTTGTGTGTAAACAGAAAGCCAGCAGGTATTGGTCTACATTTAGAACTGTTTCTACTGTAGGTATCTTTCAGAGTTTCTCTATGCCTGGCTTATGTCAACACTCAGTCGTGCTGATAGCTCTCAGATGGCAGAAGAAAGAATAATGGAAGAGCAGCAGAAAGGCCGGAGTAATAAAAAATCAAAGAAAAAGAAAAAAGGTGTCTATGCTTTTCAAGTTGCTTGTGAGCTGCTTTTTTTATCTATTTCCTTCAAGAAATGCCAAATTAATCGTAGTTTTACCTGTGAACAGCTTGATGTGTCCCTTTAAATTAGGTGGTAGTTGTTCTGTAGGTATGTCATTCTCTCTTCCTCTTCTTCCATTTCTCGGCATGAGTCTCTGTTTCTGTTTAACTATTTTATATTGGAGAGTAAGAAAGACTATTTCATATGACTAAACTACTTTTGTCAGGCAGTTACTTTGTGTTCTTTTGTTTGTTTGCAAAATTGAATATAATCTTAATTCTTCACTGTTATTTCTGTAATTCAGCAGTCATTGGTCACAATCCTCTGGGTGATTTACAGATGCATGCGTTAAATTGCATAAGTCACCACAGTGCAGTGTCGCCAACTGATGAGGGTCAGATTGGATTACTAGGTGTGAGCCTGTCGCACAAGCCGCTGTGTGTCTAGTAATGTGATCGGCACCTTGTTAGTGCCAGTTTGCTTTTTGTGAGTTACATAAATTAATTTAGGCATGTTTCAAAATTTCTCCCAACAGAACTCTAGCCTGTTTCCATGTCAGTTGAAGGCAACAATGTTTGATTTCCCCCTGTAGCCTTGTTGGAAAAAGGGAGTTGCAGTTGGAGAAGAAATTGTTAGTTCTCCCCTCACCGGCTGTAATCTGTCCTGAATTGCTCCCATTCAACTTCCATGGGCTTCAGCAAAACCCTTTTCCAAGCCTAATGAGGCTTTAGTTTCACGACTGCTGTCAAATAATTCTTATGGGTTATTATTAAGGCAGTATGTCACCCTCATAACGTTCCTTATCTAATTATTGACATGATTGTGTGCATTTTGAGTTCTGAAGAGAGTTACTATGCCACTTGAAAGATGCAAATGTTGCTTAATATTGCCTAGTATCGGTAAAGTTTCCACAACCTAACTAAAACATTTTCATGCATGAAATTTGCAGCTCGTCCTCTGAGCAGAGAGATTACCATGAGCCAAGCCTATCAAAACATGTGTGCTGGGATGTATAAGGTGATGTATTGTGGGTTAAAATTATCAATTCAATATTTTAAAATTTCAAAACTTACCAATTTTGTGAAGTATTTAAGCATAATTTTCTGAGTTGAGAATTGTATCTAAATACTCCTAAAGGATTGATTTTACATTTAGGGCCAGGATAGGCATAATCGTAGCAATTGCTCAAGTATCAGATGAAATAATTCAGTTAAAGGTGAACAGCACCCATTTTTTTTCTGTTTAATACAAGTGTCAATCCAACAGCTAACTATAGGAGTTAGGCTTGCTGAGATGGGGAGAAGAAAAAAGGGTGCAATCTGGCAGAGATAAGGAACCTGCAGAGGACCTCTGGGCCAACCCATATAATACCTTTTCTTCCAAATACTTTAGTTAGTGTGCGTACAGAAGTATACTGAGTTATCTATTGAGCTGGCACTGAAGTAAAAGGTAACAATCCAGAAACTAAATAGTATTCAGAGTTAAGAAATAAGATAGTTTAAAGTCTACCTTATTGACAAAAATGTGGCAATCTGGGATCCTTAGCATGACAAAGAGGACATTTTTGCTATAATTTTGTGCATAATGTGCACTAGCCTCGTGGTGCAGTTGTTAAAACGCTGTACTGCAAGCTAAAACTGTGCTCATGACCTGGGGTTCAAATCCCAGGTAGCCGGCTCAAGGTTGACTCAGCCTTCCATCCTTCTGAGGTCGGTAAATTGAGTGGCCATTGGCAGTTTCCTCATTATGCTGTTTTCCTTTTCTTGCCCATTTTCCTGAAGACTATGATTGCATTTGACATGGATGGCAAAGTGAGAAAGCCAAAATTTGAACTTGATAGTGAGCAAGTTCGGTACGAGCACAGGTTTGCTCCATTCAACAGTGTCATCACGCCGCCGCCAGTGCACTATCTACAATTCAAGGTGAACCAGTTTTATTACTAATGCATTGTAAGACATTTGTGTATCATGAGGGTAATTTCGTGGGGGGTTTTGTTTTTAATTTTGAGAGTTGATTTTAACTGCCAAATGCTTATTCTTTTCCTCCTCAGTCAGTAATCTTTGCTAGGAAGATGTGTTTCCCTTGGATTGGGGAAGATGACCAATTTGTTTGGAGTCCTCCATTCTCTATTTAAAAAGTTGTACCCCAAACATTTCTGTTTTGCCTGCTTTGCAGAAAGTGCCGTATATGTAAAAGTGAGATCAGAGGAATTTATATATTGCCCCAGGTTCCTTACATAGGGAGAACAGTATATGTATGTATAGGGAATTTATATTCATAGTCTCAGAAGACTTTCATTAAGGTCTTCATGTTACATAGTTTGAATACCATGCCATAGATATTTATCATTGCAAAAGAACATATTCCACACTCCATTTTTTTCAGTTTTCCAGAAAAAAAAAGGCAAAAATAGCTTGGGGGGGGGAAGGGGAAAAAAACCTCCCCCCTCCCCAAGTTTCCCCCCAGGCCTTCTCATCTCTATATAGAACTCCACACTACATTTTTTTTCAATTTTCCAGAAAATAAAGGCAAAAATGGCTTTGGGCGGGGAGGGGAAAAAACCTCCCCCCTCCCCAAGTTTTTCCCCAGGCCTTCTCATCTCTATATAGAACTAAACATACCATGTTTCCCTGAAAATAAGACAGGGTCTTACATTAATTTTTCCTCCAAAAAACACATTAGGGCTTATTTACAGGGAATGTTTTATTTTTTCCATGTACAACCATCTGTATTTATTCAAATACACTGGTACCTTGACTTATGAACTTAATCCATTTTGGAACGGCGTTCATACGGTGAAAAGTATGTAAGTTGAAGTACCATTTTCCGTCGAAATGCATAGGAATGGAATTAATCCGTTCCAGCATTTAAAAAAATTACCTTCGGAGGTCTCAAAGGGCTTTCCGCCCGACATCAGAGGAAGCCCTCTGAGAGCTCCAAAGGCAAAAAGGCAGGGAGAAAGGGTGGGAAATTCGAATTTCCAGCCCTTTCTCCCTGCCTTTTTGCCTTCAGTCGTCTCAAAGGGCTTCCTCCGATGCCGGGGGAGGGGGGGAAATCCCTTTGAGACCTCCAAAGGTGACAAATGGCTCCGTTCGCAAGTCGATGCCAATTTTTGCGACTGGAGCTGTTCGTAAACCAAAAAGTTCATATGTAGGGACATTCGTAAGTCAAGGGTTGACTTACAGTCATGTTTTCTTCTGGTTGCTTCACTTAACTGGGGCTTATTTTGGGGGGAGGGCTTTTATTAGGAACATCCTGAAAGATCATCCCAGGTCTTATTTTCAGGTTAGGTCTTATTTTTGGGGAAACAGGGTATATTTGCCAAAATGAAAAGCAGCATTTTCAAATACATGTGTTAATGTCCAATTACATAATAATTTAGGAATTAAATAATCTGTACAAATTGTTCTTGAGAGTGCTGTCATCTTGATGCTACTAAATTGTAGTCTAATTTTGAATGACTTAAATAGGCATTTTTGCCCTTTTAAACAGTATCTTTCAATTGATCTTTATTTCTCCAATGTTATTTAGGAAATGTCAGACCTAAACAAATATAGCCCTCCTCCTCAGTCCTCTGACCTCTATATGGCTGCTAGCAAACACTTCCAGCAAGCTAAAATGATACTGGAAAATATTCCCAACCCAGACCATGAGGTGAGTCACTCTCTAAACCAGGGCAGGCAATGGGAGCCCTTCTGATGTTTTCATATGGCAGTTCCCATAATTCTCACTATCTATGCTGACCAGGTGTCGTGAGAGCTGTAGGCAAAAATCCCCTAGAGGACTACCCCCACCCTATACATAGAAATACGGAGAGTATGTTTTTAACCTCTGTACATGTAGTTTAAATGGGTAAACATTTTAATGGCTTTTGTTACAAAATTAGAATGCTCTTGACACAGGAATAGTACAGGAGGAAAGCAGGCACATACAGACTTTCTCGGTCATCTAGTAAAAGTCAGCAGTATGATGTGGCTGCCAAGAAGGCCAATGCAATTCTTGGTTGCATCAGTAGGAATATAGTGTCTAGATTAAGGGAAGTGATTGTGCCACTCTATTCTGCTTTGGTCAGACCTCACCCAGAGTATTGCGTCCAGTTCTGGGCACCTCAATTCAAGAAGGATGTTGACAACCTGGAATGTGTCCAGAGGAAGGTGACCAAAATGGTCAAAGGTCTGGAAGCCATGTCCTATGAGGAGCGGCTTAGGGAGCTGGGAATGTTTCGCCTTACAAAAAGGTTAAGAGGGAACGTGATAGCCATGTTTAAATATTTGAAGGGATGTCATGTTGAGGAAGGGACAGGTTTGTTTTCCACGGCTCCTGACAGTAGGACAAGGAGCAATGGTTTCAAACTACAGGAAAATAGATTCCATCTGAATCTCATGATGAACTTTTTGATAGTCAGAACTGGTCAGCAATGGAATATGCTGCCTCGGAGCTGTTTTTTGATCCTGGATAACGTTTTGAAAAATGGGGAAGGAAAGAAGGTACTTCTTTCAGTTTATGAAAGTTATGCCTACAATCTGTCGCCAGCAATCTAGAATGGTATTTGGCATGTGTTTAAGCCTTAGTGGGACATCACATTGCAGGAGTATGCACTGAATAGGATTTTTTTTAAAAAAGGAAATGCACTGTATTAATCCTTAATAATAATACTTTTGAACCATACTGCCAGTCCTCATGAAAAGACAACTCTGCTGATTTGTAAACAGTATAATAAAGAATATGTTGCAACTTTCTAAATTGCTTAGGACAATAATGATTGCAAGTATCTTATTTTTACTAAGTACTTGCCAATACTGTACTGATCTTTTAATGTTTTTTCTTCTTGTTTGTGCGCTTTGTTTATTTCTGTCTAGGTCAACAGAATCCTTAAAGTTGCTAAACCCAATATTGTGGTTATGAAGTTGCTGGCAGGAGGTCACAAAAAGGATTCGAAAGTAAGAAAAACACTACTAAATTTAAAAGTACTTTTGAAAACACAAATTTGGAATTGGTCAAAAAGAAGTAGGTAGAATGCAAGTATATCACAAGCTTGGGTGGTGTGACTTATTGATGCACTTTAATGGTTTGCTGTTAACATTTGTATACAATTTCAATACCAAGAGTGGATGCCAAAATACATTGGCAGGACATGTCTTTTAAGCTAGCAATTTAACCTAAGTTTTAAATATGTTTATTTGAAAGGACATTTGACAAACTTTCATCTTAAATGTCTATTTGATTTGATAAAAATATGGAAACTTCTTGAGTCGGCCTCTCAAAAATCTTAATATATGGGTACAATATTAGGTGTTGCAATTGCAAATGAAAAGATTCAGAAAACAAGATGAACAATAAAGGAAGGGGTAGTGTACATTTCTATAAAATAACTGATGTTCAGCTGCAAGGGCTTATTTTAGATTGTAATATAGTGTGCATCTGTTTGAGCGGGCAATGTGGTGATCCAGGCATCATTCTTATTACTGACCTCTGAACTCATTTCATACCGATTGTGGCCTAAAAACAGTGTGATGCTTACAGTAGGATTGGGATTTATTCCCTTCACTCTTTTTTCTTGAAAACATGCTCTGGACGTATTTCGAACTCTGGAACAGAGCTTTAAGGTGTGTGGGCTGGAGGGAGGTGGGAAGTGTCCCCTTTCTGTTTGTGCTTGCAGAAGGTGTTTCCATAAATAAAATGAGACTTCTGAATATTAGTGTGTGTCCCCCCCCCCATAAGTAAATTACTGTCATGAAAAAAATACTGAGTAAGAATCAGTCATACTCATTTTTATAAGTTGGCCTTACAGATTTTCTGCCATGCTCTTCAATTCAAAAATTATTACCTTGTGTAAGACAGTTGTTTAGAGTCAACATTATGCTCACCCTCTTACTGTTTAAACAATTAATAAGAACATGTAATTAGTCATTTAGATGTCCATTCAAGTATCTTAAAATCTTTCTTCTAGGTTCCTCCAGAATTTGACTTCTCCCCTCATAGATACTTCCCTGTGGTGAAGCTTGTTTGAAAGACAAAGGATTAGAAGAACAAATGAACTGTACCTTGTATAACAGAGTTGCCTTGGTCGACTCTCCTACTGTGCTCAAAAGGGTCATGGTGCTCTTGGGAAAAAGTACTGTTGTATAGGAAGCAATTTTATTCTGACTTCCTTTACACACCCTGAATCACAGCTGCTGTTTAAAATATGACCATATTGTACCACTGGGGCTGATTTTATCAACTACATTGTTGAAGTATTGTATGTTTGATTTATTGCACATTTAAGTAATAAATTGTTTTTCTCAAATGTGTAGAACATTTGTAAACCTTTCATCACACTTTTTGTCATTTTGAAAGTAAAGTCCAAGGGCAGTTGTTATGTTTCAGTATGTACTGGCGAGCAAAAACAGTACAGCTTCAAACAAATTGCTTTGATGGCGGTGCAGCAGCATAGATTTTGGGGATCTTTTGTACATATAAACAATTACCTCCTTTTAGCTTTTCTGCAAACTGAGGGATTAATTTTGGAACACAAAAAAATTTCAGAAAAACAGACATGTTTCCTGTTCTGGCTACTCCATAACTATTTCAGATGCACCAGGAAAACTCCATATTTGTCTACAGCACAGGTGTCAAAAACAAGGCCCGCGGGCGTCCCTACTTACAAACAGCTCCGGTTATAACTTTTTGCTTTGACTTGTGAACGGAGCTTCCACTTACAAACTGAAACAGGAAGGGAAAAAAGGCGGGCAATTCAAATTTCTAACTGTATGTGGGAACAAGGCTGCTTCTTTGTGCCGTAGCTCTTTCATCAGTTATAGGGTGTGTCGCAGTTGGAGGCCTGGGAGAGCCTCCTGCTTCGGAGTGAGCCTGTGTGTGTGTCTGCAGGAAGGGTTTGTTTCTGTGCTCTGCTTTGGAGCGAGTTGAAACAGGAAGGGAAAAAAGGCGGGCAATTCAAATTTCTAACTGTATGTGGGAACAAGGCTGCTTCTTTGTGCCGTAGCTCTTTCATCAGTTATAGGGTGTGTCGCAGTTGGAGGCCTGGGAGAGCCTCCTGCTTCGGAGTGAGCCTGTGTGTGTGTCTGCAGGAAGGGTTTGTTTCTGTGCTCTGCTTTGGAGCGAGTGTGTGTGTATTTTTGGAGGTTTTTTTTCCTTCTTAAACCTCAGCAACGGAGGTGGCTCTAGTGCAGTGGAGGCAAACCTTTTTTGGCTCGAGTGCCCAAAATGAGGGGGTGGGGAAGAAACCAGTGACTGCCATGCTGCCCGGAAGACCAGAACTGGAGCAGGAAGTGGCAGTTTCAGGGGGAATCATGGGGACAGACAGGAGGTTAAAGGACTCGGAACAGGAAGAAGGGGAAATCCCAGCTGCAGCCACTTTAAAAGGTTTGTCACGTGCCAGAAGAAAGGGCTTTGCGTGCCAGCTGTGGCACACCTGCCATAGGTTCGCCATCACTGCTCTAGTGTATGTTTAAGTTTTTTTCTTAAAGCCTCAGCAATGGAGCATGGAACACCTTCCGACTAGGCTTGCTGTGCTCTTTTTAATTTTTTGGTTATTTTTTTCCTCTGGGCAGCAGGGGGGAAGCTGTGGCTGCTCACCAGAGTGAGGGAAGCTCCGGAGGAGAAGGAGGTGGTGGTGGGTGGGCAGGCAGGCGAGCGCTTCCTGGCCAGGTCTCTGGCCCCGGCCCCGTTCACTTTGGCCAGCCTTTGAGGCTTCCTTTCTCTCCTGGGTTTTGTTTTGTTTTTTGCAGCCCCAGTGCGTTCCTATGGGGCTTGCAGTGTTTTATTTTTTGGAGTATTTTTTTCTTAGGCCGGAATGGATTATTCGGTTTTCAATGCGTTCCTATGGGAAATGGTGCTTCGACTTTACAAACATTTTGAGTTACGGACACTGTTCCAATACGGATTAAGTTCGTACAGTAAGTCGAGGTACCACTGTATTTGGCTGCTGCAACTTTTTGGTCTGATTGTTAATATGTGTCTCTGAAGCAGATCAGCAGTAAGTCGAGGTACCACTGTACGTATTTGGCTGCTGCAACTTTTCGGTCTGGTTGTTAATATGTGTCTCTGAAGCAGATCAGTTGATACTAAATATATTACAGTACAGAGTCTATTATGCTTTAACATAAAAACTCTTGTCAATGGAATTTACACTATTTGTGACCAACAGGGCCTGTCCATTTCACTACTACAGTTGGAACTCATACTAGATTTTACTCTATGCCATTAAAAGTTTTTTCAGAGAGGCAGGTTCTTGCATACAGATGCACTTCATTTTCTAAATTTAAAACCCTGCCACAGCAAAAGTCCCCCCCATGATAACATTTATTAATTCTTGTATAGTGTAATGAATGTTCTGTGAATTGTTTCAATATTTGGTTTGAAGCATAATGCAATTTAGGATTTTAGTTTACAGTACATGTTTCTAGCATATGCAAAACACTACATATTTTTAATATCATTTGAACCGATCTCTAAGCATGTAAGTCATATAATTCTTAGTCTGGAAATGTTTTAAAGAGTTGACTGCTTTGGTGGATTAAATATGAATAACTGGGACCAAAATTCTAAATACACGTACCTTCCAACTGCAATATTTTATTGGAACTCAAAACGCCAATCAAATTACTAAAGTCTTGTAAATTCATTAATTCATCATTGATCTTACAAAATCTTTCCTTTACAGACATTAGATTTGGTTTTATTGGCTTGACCTTAATATGGTCCACTGAATTAAAAAGTACAGTATTTAGTTTCATAAAACAGTAGAGTAATTACTCGAAACTGTTCTCTTTGGTACAACAAATTTGTACCATATTTATTACACCCCCTGTTACGTTCAGGAAACTGGACAGATGATGGTTGGTACCAGTTCAGCATAATGTTCTTTCTGAAACAATAGGATTAGAGTTTTACAGCTTGACAGCCAGAATCCTCTAGGGCATTTACACTGGTGTATGTGTAACTATGTAAATAGCAGAACCATCACTAAATTATAATGTGACTTGTCATGCAAGCTGGAGTATGAGTGGCAACTGGTTAGTTAGCAGCAACTCGCCACCACAATTTATGCAATTACACACATAAATTCCCTACAGGATCCTGGCCTTTGTTTAACATAAGAGTAAGATACTTAGTAGGACTTAACAGACACTTCAGGGTTTGCACATCTATATTCCCCATGTATTCAAGTTTTAGTAAGATCATAAACAAATGGTCCACTACTTTTCAGCCCAATCAAGGAAAATTCCCACTGCTAATAGCTAACATTTTTACTAAGTTCTGCTGTTCAGAGCAGAGAACATACCAATTGAATAGATGAATATAAATACTCAGTCTTAATGTTTACTTAGAAACAGGTCCCACTGTTGTAAACAGCATTTACTTCAAAGCAATCCATTTAAAGAAAGATTACCTTAGAATGTTCCAGGATATAATTTATCTGAAAAACACTGCTACAGAAAATAAATATAAAATTCATTCTCTAGGTTCATTTGGTTTTTAAAGCAAGAACCAGCAATACACGGGAAGAGGTATGAGGAAGTTAAGAGAGTACAATAACATCTCTAAAACTGTTAATAATTCCAGTTTTTGTGCCAAGAAAATCTTTTTGTCATCTTCAGGAAGAAAATCGGATAAAGCAGCTGAAGAACAGGTACAGATTCCATATACCATAAAGAAAGGTTAGGTTTCCTTCTCCTGACACAATCCGGTTCATAAGAGTACAGTAAACAACCTATTATTTAAGTCAGGCAACAAGTCCTAAACAAAGGTCAGAACTGATTTAAATAAAGACTTAAGGATGATCAACTTCAGCTGAACTTTTCAAGCCTTGAGATTTTCAACGTAAGTAGTTCTTGCAAGAGTCAAAAACTAATCATTATTCACAATTTCTGTTGATGCTCTTCACCAAATTTAAATAAGTGATTTTGCAGGTTTGGATCATCAAGATTCTGGACTGCAAAAGAAAAATTTTAATATTAATATTTTCCAAGTGTTGTGATAATGGAGAAACTGGTAACAATATCCTTACCAAAAACAACTGTGCTTATCTGGCAATCACTGCACACATGCTCTGAAAGTACAGTGGAACCTCTACTTACGAACTTAATCTGTCCCAGAAGATGTTCATTAGTTTAAATGTTCGTAAGTAGAATCAACATTTCCCAGAGGAATGCATTGAAAATCAATTAATCCGTTCTGGCTGTTTTAGGTTCTTATGTAGAGGCACCGTTCATACGTTAAAGCAGTGGTTCTTAAGCTTTTTGAAAGAAACGCCCCCTTGAGCCATTGAGGAAGTTATCATCGCCCCCCTCCCTGCGGTGATGATATTTATTTATTTATTTATTTATTTATTTATTTATTTATTTAAGACACTTAAATGCAATGACCCCTGAAAACAAAATTCAATTCCAAGAAAATGAAATGCCCCCTAATGCAAAGCTGGTTAATCCATCCTCTACCACTAGGGGGAGAATTTTCTTTTGATCTAAGATAAACTTAGGTCAAAAAAAGGGCAGGGAAGGAGGGAGAGAACACCTTTAAAACCAAGCACCTTTTAAAACAAAACCAAGCACCTTTAGGTTAAAAAAAAGGCAGGAGAACACCTTTTCAACAGAGCACCTTTAAGAAAGCCACAGAATCCAGCAAGCATTATTCCAGCACAGAACTCATCACAAAAGGAGAGTCTAAACTGCATTTTACAGTCTGCCTGCATCAACAGCCAGCACAACCCCTCACAGAATATTTTCTGATTTTAAGAAAAAAAGACTGTGGAGTCTAAACAAGACAGAGGGTAGAGACTTGAGTCTAAACTCCATTTTAAAGCCATCAATCATTATTCCAGCACAGAACTCCTCATCACAAAAAGAGAGCATGGGGGGGGGGGGGAGAGACTTGAGTCTAAATTCCATTTTAAAGCCTGGCTGCCTGCATCTACAACCAGCACAGCCCCTTACAGAATATTTTCTGATTTTAAAACAGACTTTAGAGCCACATTTTACCCCCACACATTTTAAAACTAAAATTTACACTGCAAGACCCATCAGAGCACAGAAGCATAACCCCCCCACCTAGCCCTACCTCCCCAAGCTGCAAAAAAACCCCTGTACAGTAAATACAGTGTACTCACCCAGAACAGGAAGTCTCTCTGTTTTGGAAAAGTCAAAAAGCCTTAAAAACAGTCCGTACAGTACAGTACCAGGCAATTCCAGGCAGTACCAGGCAGTCTAAAGACTCTCTCCCTATCCACTCTCTAACTGCTTGGATGAGCGAGGTAGCAGACAAGCATCCTCTTCGCTGGCCAACGGTCAACTGAAAGTTCAAATTTCGCACTTTCCCTGCCTCCCCCATGGGTTTTTTTCGTTTGTACGTTGAAGCTCCATTCGCCAGTAGAAGCAAAATTTTGCGAACGGAGCTGTTCATAAGTTGAAATGTTCGTAGGTAGGGACGTTCGTAAGTAGAGGTTCCACTGTATGTGCATGTTTTCAACTGTGTGAGACCTTTGCACTTGTAAAACTCCACAAAGAAGTTTTGCCTATTACTACTGTACATACTGCAAAATCAGTAGAAAGTTTATTAACTTTTGCATTTTAATATGAAGAAAAATATTTATAAAATCACTGAGCTAGCCAAAAAACCAAACATCTAATGGTGCAAAAATAGTTTTAAAGTGTCCTAAAATTTGTTTCCCAGAATACAGTACAGAAAATACAGGATTTGAGAACACAAGAACTTACCATTGAAGTTATTTGGTTGGTCAACAAGGGCAGCCTGCTTATCTGTTTCAGATTCTGCCTCATTCACATCTAAATTATAGTCCACTCCTTTGCTGTCCTGGTTGACTCTTTTGTTACCTGGGTCTTCTGCAAAGACATAACCAGTAAGCATCTTTATCCATAATATGGAGTAATCTGGTGTTTTTAACATCCAAAAATTTTCAAATAGTAGTTTTTGCTAGGTTCACTTGCAGCATTTTGCCAATTGATTTAATAATTTGTGTGAGATGAAGATCATCTCATAAAGCTTGAGATTGCTCCTTTGCCTATCCCACTGTTAAACCATTTTAGAAAAGAATGGAAGTTTGTTAAGCACTAAACGCTGGATCCAAAATTTTTGGATATTTGCACATTTCCTTGAATATTGTAGGTGCTAAACTACAGGTAACAGATATACTGAGTAGTAATTTAAACTTCCAAATATACTGGACAGTCATTTCAATCCTCCAATAAAACTTAGTAACTTTGTTTTTATACTAACCACCCTTACTGGTAATTTGATCATCTTGCTGAACATCATCATTTAAGAGTTGCTCTCGCTCAATTTCTTCATCATCCACTTTGGCTTCATTGTTATTTTGATGGTCCACTGCTTCTAGAAGTTTGCCAGTTGTCCTTCCTACTAAAACTTCTTGAAGCCCATTTCTAACTTCTTCGTATGAGTTCTGCTCTATTCCTGGTTCTCGGGGCAACTCTTTATTGTCCATGCTAGACTTTGCAGCCATTTGTAGATGGTCCTGACTGACAGGAAGATCATCTTTCTTGGATTCATCTTTATTTATAACAACATCACTGGTTCCTTCTGTAAATTACCATAAAATTGCAGTTAGAATTCAGTGCAAACTGAATTTTATAGCAGACTGCTAAACCCAACACAAAAATTTGCTTTTCTTTCTACAGTTCATCTCCTGTAACAGCAACTTTAAACGTTTAATAAAACCTGAAACTTCCTCAGTTCCTGGAACCTGTATTTGGTTTGTTAGAGGAAAAGCTTATTAGAACAGTTTACTTATTGTACAATTATTTGTAATCTGTGTAAATAGTTGTTTATAAATTACACAAGTGTAATTTATATATATGCATGATGCTGGGTTACATTTTCCTGCTCTAAGCAAATTGAGTTAACTAACCTTGTCAAAGGGAGTAGGGGCCATGATCAACAACGTGTATAAAACTGGGGAGGGGTGTGTGTAGGGGAAAAAAGTCAGGTTCTCATTTAACTTTTTTCCCCTTGGGCTTCATCTTTATTCCAATCCCACTGGTTTTAATTTGTGGTTATAGCTGTGCTCCTGACATCATGGCCTTGACTACAACTCCTGATTCACCAGCAGCAACACAGGCTGGACGTCCAAATAATGCTGCCACCATGCACCCAACTTTGTTCTAACTTTGTCTTTCCCATGCAAAGAAAGAAAGTCTGCTCAAACACAAATGGGTTGGATCCAGACACCAGCTTCTGCAAATGGAAAGGCTGATTCCATCCAGAGAAACTTTCTGAAGAAGGGAATGGAGTCCGCCACAGAAGGCAACTTTTGCTGGTTTGCCCTCCTCCCCCTCCCTATATCATTTCCCATTCAACCATGCAGAATTATGCAGGAGGTGGTGCTAGGCTACCAACAGCAGGAAGGAATAAGCAGAGTTTGCACCCTGCTGTCTGCTTGTAGATTGAGACCCTGGAATTCTGCTTCTAGCTAAAGTGGAGATGAAGTGATACACGGCTGCTCTCTCCCCTTTCAAAAAGGCAACATAATTCATCTGTTGTCCCCCAGAGATATTCAAGAAAAAAATGTGAAAGGAAAATAAGTGACATCAGCACCAGTAATAATATGAATAGGTCAGAGCAGGTAAAGGACAGCTTAGGAATACTTTTTTCCCCATCTATTCCTTTCTATGTAAAAACATGCAACTTCTTCAATGTAAGCTGAGGTTACCCAGTCCTTTCAAATCAACAGTGAGAGTGTTCTCTGTGTGAAATTCCACTCAAGATTCATGAGCAAAGTCTGCCTGCAGTTGTAAACTGAGGGTCACAGGTAGAACGTGTTAAACCAATTTAACTTCAGCACAACCCAAAATGTACATGGAAACAGGATCCACTTCATGCAAAAAGAGATCTTAATACATAAGGTATTTCAAAAAATAATTATATCTAACCATTTAAAATTTATATCAATACATGTTTTTTTTAGGAAGGAACTGTTTTGAGAAATAAATCGGAGTTGCTATTAACTCAGGAAAAAACGTCATGCAACCCTGACTCAAAAAATACAGCCCCACCTTCCACATTAATCCTGACGAGATAAAAAATGACTTGTCACCTTTGTTGCTATATTCTTATAGCTTTGATCATCCATTTCTGCCATGTTTTTTACCATAGACGTTGGCTTCAATGCTTCTAACTTCGAAGACTCCTGTTTTTCTGGTAGTTCATTTCCCTGTTTTGTTAGATCACGGTGCTGCAGTTCTGGCTGTCCAAATGTTGGCACCTGAATGTTAACCTGTGTTAAAAAAAACACCACAGCATGACAGAAATAAAAGAACAGAAAAATAGGTAGGCACTTTCCTCTCATGTCTATTTTAATCAAGATGGAACAAAAAAAAAAACAAAAACACCCAGTGTTCAAAATGTATTTTCACTGTTCCAGGTTATGTTTCATTACAGCACCACAGTTACATGTTAGTGATTTCAATAGCAACTTTGGTTGTTGTTATGTGCCATCAAGACTTAAGGCAACCCCACGAATGAGTGATCTACGGACTAGATGATCCATAAGATCCCTTCTAGCTGTGCAGTTCTAAGATTATTAGGATGACTGGATATGGTGATGGTGGTTGTCCTCAGTAGCCCTGCTCAGCTCTTGCAAACTCAAGCCTATGCTTTCCTTTAGGGAGTCAATCCTTCGCGCAGTTCATCTTCTTTTCCTGATGCCTTCAACTTTTCCCAGCAATACTGTTATTTTCCAGAGAATCCTGTCTTCCAGAGAATACTACCAGAGTTCCAAAAGCTATTTCTAACATGTAATTAATTACATTTCTAGTATCCAGGCATGCAAAAGGTATTATATTATATTTACAATATATTTGCTGTTCGCAGGTTAGCCCAAAAGTTATGTTACAGTTGCATTTTAAAGTAACTCTTTACTTTCCTATTATTCAAAAGCAACTAAAAGCAATATTTTATTGCTAGTCCCAACTAGAGTAAACCCTCTATGTGGGATTTAAATAAATGCTGACTTACTATTTAGATATTGATTCACAGGGTTAATCTCTCGTTAAGATTAGCAATAGCATACTGACCTAAAACAGACATTTTTACTTATTTTTAAAATATGGCAATGCTCCAACCCAAACACACCTTAACAGTGAGATCACACATATTCTGCACCAATAAAAACAACTAGAAGTTATACTGCAAAAGGAGTTAAGTTATCTTTGGTATGGTAGAATGATAACGTAACTCAGATAAGGCCTAGTTGGTGTGTGAAGGAATTTGATAGAAATACAGTGGTGCCTCGCTAGACAGGTACCCCGCATGACAGTTTTTTCGCTAGACATTGACTTTTTGCAATCGCTATAGCGATTCGCAAAACAGTGATTCCTATGGGGGAATTTCGCTGGACAATGTTTGGTCCCTGCTTCGCAAACCGATTTTCGCTAGACAACGATTTTGACAGCTTCCTCCACACTAGCAAAACAGGTGTTTTCGGGACCTAAGCTTCACAAGACAGCGATTTAAACAGCTGATCGGCGGTTCGCAAAGCGGCTTTCCTATGGCCGATCTTCGCTAGACAGCGACGATTCTTCCCCATTGGAACGCACTAAACAGGTTTCAATGCATTCCAATGGGGAAATGCTTTTCGCTAGACAATGATTTCGCTAAACAGCAATTTCAGTGGAACGGATTATCATCGTCTAGCGAGGCACCACTGTAACTGATTTTTTGGTAACTCATAACTTCTAAGCTCTGCAAACCACTGAAGATGTCAAAACTGCCGTGGTTTAAGTAAATATATTTTGTAATAGCTTCTTAAGAATAGGTTCAGATTCAAATTTGGGTGGCTCCTCATTTTGTGCGGGAAATACCACAGGAGTCGTCTTCTTAAGTTTAATAGCTTAATTTTTATTGGTAACAGAGGGTTCAACGTTATTCACAAAGGGGTCAAAGAAACTCAACTCAGGCGACAAGCCATAACTGTCCAAAGTATATTCAGTCCTCTCATCAACCAAACTTAGAAGAGTGCAGGGCCAAATCTCTCCACATCTGTCGGCTTCCGCAGAGGCGCGCTCCAAACCGTGCAGATGGCAGAGTACTGTACCTGTCGACCCCTTCCCTTGTTCTTAGGGAAAACTATTACTGAAAAGTGATTTAAACTGCCTAAAAAAATACTGGTCTAATACCAGATATCTGTTGATGGACTAATGAAACCCAGTGCAAGGGGGTGGGAGATCCCATTCCAAGCATCCAGAAACAAATGTACTCCAAAACTCTGTGTAGGTTCCTGTATTCCCATACCTATCCAGCTAGTGATGGTTACTAGTCATGAGGAGGACTCTGCAATACCTAAAACAGGGGCATCAAAATCAATTTACCTGGGGGTCGCTGGAGGCAGAAAAAAAGATGAAAAGTTTACAAAACATACACAATGCAAGAGAGATGAAAGCGTTGTTCTTAAGGATGAAGCAATAGTGTGAATAAAACTGATTACAGTGATAGCAAATGATTTCATTTACTTTCAAAATTTAAAAAATCACTCAAGTATGTGAACCTTTACTTGATTTGTAAATTAACAGATAAGTGTTTACAATTTCACCACTGTTTAGGAAATTGTATCTATGGTGGTAAAGTTGATCTAAATTTCTTGCAAGTTTAGATCGCTGAGTTACATCGATCCAGCTTGCTTTAATTTTTCAGAAGCTTTATACCTACAGATCCATCAAAATGGCACTTTCAAGTCCCATTAACACGTGATTAAGTTAAACAGTGTACAGATTTCTCCACTGAAATCAACAGAGATTTAATCTGTGTGGGAAGGCTGTTAGTCAATATACTCGCACATGTCAATCCTTTAAAGAGTCATACTGGGGATGGAGACAATTTAGGTCAGATCTACTGCACCAGAGGTTACCTTACTCTCCCATCTTCCCTCTGCCTTTTCTTCCTTCCAGTGATAGCAAATGATTTCATTTACTTTCAAAATTTAAAAAATCACTCAAGTATGTGAACCTTTACTTGTTTGCTTAGAAATGAGTTATTACTGTTTACTATGGAAGCATGTAGGTCAAAGATTTTATTAGAAACAGTCACACAGAGGTTGAAGGTTCTGCTGCATACTTGAAAAACCTGAACTACTAAATGCTTATTCCTTTTTTAAGATAAAGGACCACATGAATCTGTTCATATAAAATGTAAATGTTCAAAGTAAACCATTTGAAACATCAACAAGACTGCTCTATTATGGCTGTATTCTATAACTTTTCTGCAGAATCCATCCTAGAGTCTAGCAACAGTAGCATTCTTTTAGAAAGGAACCTACTGACAAAATAAGAAGTCCTAGAAAAATAATAATTTAAGCAACCATATGAGTTTCACCCACATGCATCCCCACTTCTATTATAGTTTACAGCTTTTCAAATATAGAGACTAATAAAGGAGGAGGAGGAAAATGGAAAGTTAGAAAGCCAACAGGGCTATGGAGGCTATCCAATGTACTGATGTTACAACTTGCTCTTTATATGCTCAATGCAATGAACTCGTACATTTCCGAAAAGAAGTTTATTTCCTTGAAACCAAGTGAGTCTGAAGCTAGCTGGCTAGGAAAGACAGAGATGCTTTCAGGATGTAAGTAGCATTTACTTCCCAGTTTTCCTGCAACTTTTAGATCAATAAAAATAGATTTAAGTGTTATCTGGGTCATTTTGACCGTTCGTTTTTCTAAGGTGAAGGTGAGGGCATTAAAAAGTAACAAATAGTATACCAAGCAACTCAATAAGTCACTAAAAGATGATAGCAGCAATAGCAGTAACACACTGGAGGTGAGCACTGCAATCCATGCACAATCAAAGAGGAACTGAACTAAATAGGCACATAAATCCATCAAGTCCAACCTCCTGCTCAATGTGGGAATCCAAATCAAAGCAGATCTGACAAATGGTTGTCTAGTTTCCTCTTGAGTGCATCTAGTGTTGGAGCACTCACCACCTCCTGAGCTAATTGGTTCCACTGTGATACTGCTCTAACAGTCAGGAAGTTTGTTCTTTCTCTGAAATTCAGCCCAAATCTCGTTTCCTGTAACTTGAGCTCATTACTATGTGTCCTGCAATCTGGGATGACTGAGAACAGCTTCTGTCCCTCCTCTATATGACAGCCTTTCAAGTATTTGATAAGTGCTATTATATATGCCCCTAGTTTTATTTTCTCAAGGCTACATGTGCTCAGGTCTTTCAGTCTTTCTTCACAGGGCTTGGATTCCAGTTCCCTGATCATTCTTGTCACCCTCTTCCAAACTTGCTCCAGTTTGTTGGTATCCTTCGTGAAGTGCAATGCCAAGAACTGGATACAGTACTCTAGATCAGTGGTTCTTAATGTGGGCGATAATGCCCCCAGGGGGCGATTTCATTTTTTAGGGAGGCAGTAGAACGAAAAGGGGCGGTGTGGGAGCAGCGGAACAGAAGGGGGTGATAGGGGGCGCTGGAGCAAGCCAAACCTGTGAAGGCAGCTGCAGCCGTGGTGCTGCCAGACAATCCAGCTCTTTCTTCCTGCCATATCTCGCCTTCCTCCCTTAGGGGAGCACCAATTGTGGATTGGGTGGAAGGAAAGGGTCTCTCGGGTCCCCATCCTTGCCCGGTGAAGCGCTGCCTTGCCTCTGGGTGGGGAGGGAGAGACAAACACCGTTTGTCCATCCTGCCTTCCCGCCCACCTTCCCGCCTGTTGCAAGGGAAGCACGGAGAGAAACGGGTCAGTTTGGGGTGGCATGGCAGGATTTCTAGGGACAGGGCTGGCTCAGGTCATCCTGGGTGGGTGGGAATTCGGCAGCTTTTCCGGCTTTTTTTGTTGTCCTGTTATGGCTGGCTGGCTGTCAGGGGGGAAGAAAGTTCATCTGGCCGACTTTAAATGGCTTTGAGGGACGTTGGACTTGAGTTCTTCCCGTCTTCTGTGTACACGGGTGTGATGTGCCTCTATGTGTAAATCCTCTGGGAGAGAAAGCTCTTAAATTGAACTGAGAGCGCTGAGGACAAAATCCACGGGGCTGTCATAGAGAGACAAGCAAACGCATTGCGGAAAGTCAGCTGCTCCTCTTTCTCCCTTAACCCTGAGGATCCGTTCAGTGGAGGCGAAAAGGGCAGCATGTCAATGGCTTGAGTATAACAGTTTGCTTCAAGAAGGGAGTGGCAGGGGCACTCCAAAAAGTGGTTCACAATCCCCTACCCTTGGCTCACTTTCCCACCCATTGCAATGGATGCGCAGAAAGAAACGGGTTGGTTTGGGGTGGCGTGCCATCTCTTATTGAGCTATTCAGCAGTTCAGTTGTTTATTGTTCTGTTGGGTACTTGGAAAGTGGTTTTTAAGATAATTTGCTATGGATGTTGTTGTAACCCTCCTCCCCCAAAGTAATCTGTGTGAGTAAATGTTGCAAAGAGTGTTAGTTACTCATTACTTTCTGACTACTGTAAAACCCTTAGGACTGTGAAGTGATTGGCATAAAACTTGTAAATTCTTCTCAAAATCTTCTGAAAAGATAATGTGAAAATGTTACATTATACAAGTTTTGTGTGTAGAAGGTTGCTTTGGTCAACATATTTTTGCATTATTCTAACAAAGCTCCTTGAATTAAAAAAAAAACAATTTAAAACTGCTACAAGGCAATATACAACCTTAATTTGCTTCTCTATTGCCTTAATACAAAGTCTACTATCTACAGAATTTCTTTCTAACTTTGCTCTGCTTTTTCAAAAAAATTATTTTGAGACCCAAGTGGGTTGCTATTTTGAATTTAGGGTTCAGACAGCAGCAATATTCCTTTCCTTTTAAACAAATTATTATTCTAAGATTCTCCCATTCTTAAAATTCTGTTAGAACTTGTAGCTGAAATGACAAAACCAATTGCTAACATATTATTACCAGCAATGGCAATAATATGCCAGCTGACATATTATTGGTCAGTATGAAGACTAAGTCTTTTGGTGAAACTAGAATGGGCCATTAATACACAGTCCTGGCTATGTTTTCATCAGGATGTGGCCAGAAGCCATGGAGACATA